AACACCATATTATTTTCTGTAGCCCATAGAAAGACCTGATCTACATCTGACTGGAGGTTTGCCGTGTCCTCTATGTTGCCTACTCTCATGAAGATCCTAATGTCATCTGCAAAGGATGATACAGTGCTATAGGTTGTGTTCTTGTCTATGTCCGATATGAGGATGAGAAAAAGTACTGGAGCAAGCACAGTACCCTGGGGGACTGAGCTCTTCACGGTTGATGGGCTGGATTTTATTTTGTTGACTATTACACATTGGGTTCTGGTCAGGAAATTGTAGATCCATCTGCCTATTTTTCCGGTAATTCCTTTTGAACGCATTTTATGTGTAATAACACCATGGTCACATTTATCAAAAGCTTTTGCGAAATCTGTGTAAATTACATCAGCGTTTTGTTTGTCTTCCATAGCATCTAATGCCATATCATAGTGGTCCAGCAACTGCGACAGGCAAGAGCGCCCTGTTCTGAAACCATGATGTCCGGGGTTATGGAGATGCTGTGATTCCATGTATTTTGTGATCTTACTTCTTAGCACTCTCTCAAAAATTTGTATAATGTGCGATGTTAGTGCTATCGGTCTGTAATTTTTTACCTCTGCCTTATTTCCTCCTTTATGAAGTGGTGCTATCTCTTCTGTTTTTAGTATATCAGGAATAACGCCAGTATGTAGGCTTTGTCTCCACAGAATGTGGAGGGCCTGCGATAGTGGTTTTTTTACAGTTCTTGATGAATATGGAGTTCCAAGAATCCGGGCCTGATGCAGAGTGCATAGGCATACTGTTTATGGCTTCTTCAAAATCCAGTGGGGATAGGGTGACGTCTGATGTATGATTTGATGTTGGTATCTGTGCATGGTTTGCACTTAAGAACAGGTTTTTGTAAATATAGTTGACACAAGAGAATGTGTGGATGGAGTTAATATTTAGCAAGTTTAGGGATTTAAACAAGGGAGCTGAGTGTTGTCTGAAAGCAGAGTTAGTTATTATTCTGATAGCAGATTTTTGCTGTGTGATGATGGGCTTAAGGTGGTTTGCAGTGGTAGACCCCCATGCACAGATACCATAATTAAGATAGATAATTAACTCCTCAAGGTAACCTCAAGGAGTTAGGAACATAATATCTGATTTTGGAGAGTATACCAACTGTTTTAGAGACTTTCTTAGTTATGTGTTGAATGTGGGTGCTGAAGTTGAGTCTCTTGTCTAGGAATAGGCCAAGAAACTTGTCATCATTTTTATTACTGATGTTAATGTTGTCTATCTGTAGCTGAATTGCATTTGATGATTTGCTTCCAAATAAGATGTAGTAGGTTTTTTTTATGTTTAGTGTTAGTTTGTTAGTTGACATCCATAAGTGGACTTTTTAATTCATTATTCACAACATTATTTAGTGTATGTGGGTTGAGGTCTGAATAGATAAGGGTAGTATCGTCAGCAAACAATATAGGTTTAAGAATATTAGAGACATTAGGCAGATCGTTTATATATATAAGAAACAGAAGAGGTCCTAAGATACTGCCCTGTGGCACTCCAACGGTAATTGGTAGAGTGGAAGAAGTAGTATCATTGATGGTTACATATTGGTGTCTGTCACTAAGATAGGATCGGATGTAGTCAAGGGCAAGGCCTCGGATTCCATAATGCTGGAGTTTAAGTAAGAGGTAGTTGTTATTAACAGTATCAAAGGCTTTTCTTAGGTCAATGAAGAGTCCAATCGGAAACTCATTTTTGTCAAGGGCTGAGTAGATTACGTCAAGGAGACTAATGATTGCATCGTTGGTGCTCTTTTGGGACCGGAAGCCAAACTGTGCTCGAATTTTTTTGGGACCGGAAGCCAAACTGTCAGGGGCTGAGTATGTCGAATTTTACGAGGTAGGAATAGAGCATTCTCATTTCAAATATTTTTGATAGAATGGGTAGATTTGATATTGGTCTATAATTGTTTATGTCCGCCGGATTGCCTCCTTTATGGACTGGCGTTACTCTTGCTTTTTTAAGGATATCAGGGAAATTGTGACACTCTATAGATTTGTTGAACCGTAGAGCTATGGGTGGGGCAAGGGCATGGGAGGCTCTCTTGTATACCAACAGAATGAATGCCAACAGTTTTAGAAACTTTTTTTTTTTTTTGCTATATTTAGAATGTGTTTCTGGAAATTCAGCTTGTTATCAATGAGGACACCAAGGAATTTACCATCAACTTTACTACTGATTTGTATATTGTTTATTCTTAAATTAATTTCATTTGAGGATTTATTACGAAACAAAATATAACAAGTTTTGTCAATGTTAAGGGTGAGTTTGTTAGCAGTTAGCCAAAGATGGACTTTATTTAGTTCAATATTCACAGTGACATTTAGAGCAAGAGGGTCATGACTGGAGAAGATGAAAGTTGTGTCATCAGCAAATAAGATTGGTTTGAGTTGTTGTGAGGCATTTGGAAGGTCATTAATGGAGATGAGAAAGAGGAGAGGGCCAAGTATGCTGCCCTGAGGAACACCAATGTTTACGGGTAGTGTCGGAGAAATTGAATTATTCACAGACACATACTGTGCACATACTGTGCACAGACCTAATACTGGAGCCTGTCAGTAAGGTAGGATTTGAGGTATTGCAGGGAGTGTCCTCTGACTCCATAATGATGTAATTTAAGAAGAAGGTTTTGGTGGTTGACAGTGTCAAAAGCCTTACGCAGGTCCACAAATATCCCAACATTGAACTCATTTTTATCAAGAGCTGCATGTATCAAGTTAATCATACTAATAAGTGCATCGTTAGTGCTTTTATTGGGTCTGAAACTATATTGGCATAGTTTGTTGACATACTTTACAAACTTTATTGGCAGTGCCCCCCATAGCCATCGTGTGGGCGGTAGTGGACCCCCATACCCATCCTGTGGGCGGTAGTGGACCCCCATACCCATCCTGTGGGCGATAGTGGACCCCATACCCATCCTGTGGGCGGCAGTGAACCCCATACCCATCCTGTGGGCGGTAGTGGACCCCATACCCATCCTGTGGGCGATAGTGCACCCCATACCCATCCTGTGGGCGGTAGTTGACCCCATACCCATCCTGTGGGCGGTAGTGGACCCCATACCCATCCTGTGGGCGATAGTGGACCCCATACCCATCCTGTGGGCGATAGTGGACCCCATACCCATCCTGTGGGCGGTAGTGGACCCCCATACCCATCCTGTGGGCGGTAGTGGACCCCCATACCCATCCTGTGGGCGATAGTGAACCCCATACCCATCCTGTGGGCGGTAGTTGACCCCATACCCATCCTGTGGGCGGTAGTGGACCCCATACCCATCCTGTGGGCGGTAGTGGACCCCATACCCATCCTGTGGGCGGTAGGTGACCCCATACCCATCCTGTGGGCGGTAGGTGACCCCATACCCATCCTGTGGGCGGTAGTTGACCCCATACCCATCCTGTGGGCGGTAGTGGACCCCCATACCCATCCTGTGGGCGGTAGGTGACCCCATGTCCATCCTGTGGGTGGTAGTGGACTTCATACCCATCCTGTGGGCAGTAGTGGACCCCATACCCATCCTGTGGGCAGTAGTGGAACCCATACCCATCCTGTGGGCAGTAGCGAACCCCATACCCATCCTGTGGGCAGTAGTGGACCCCATACCCATCCTGTAGGCGGTAGTGAACCCCATACCCATCCTGTGGGCGGTAGTGGACCCCATACCCATCCTGTGGGCGGTAGTTGACTCCATACCCATCCTATGGGTGGTAGGTGACCCCATACCCATCCTGTGGGCGGTAGTGGACCCCATACCCATCCTGTGGGCGGTAGTTGACTCCGTACCAATCCTGTGGGTGGTAGGTGACCCCATACCCATCCTGTGGGCAGTAGTGGACCCAATACCCATCCTGTGGGCGGTAGTTGACTCCGTACCCATCCTGTGGGTGGTAGGTGACCCCATACCCATCCTGTGAGCGGCAGTGGACCCCATACCCGTTCTGTGGGCGGTAGTGGACCCCCATACCCATCCTGTGGGTGGTAGTGAACCCCATACCCATTCTGTGGGCGGTAGGTGACCCTATACCCATCCTGTGGGCGGTAGTGGACCCAATACCCATCCTGTGGCCGGTAGGTGACCCCATACCCATCCTGTGGGCGGTAGTGGACCCAATACCCTTCCTGTGGGTAGTAGTGGACCCCCATACCCATCCTGTGGGTGGTAGTGGACCCCATACCCATCCTGTGGGTGGTAGTGGACCCCATACCCATCCTGTGGGTGGTAGTGGACCCCCATACCCATCCTGTGGGTGGTAGTGGACCCCATACCCATCCTGTGGGTGGTAGTGGACCCCATACCCATCCTGTGGGTGGTAGCTGACCCCAATACCCATCCTGTGAGGTTCGGGAACTGAACTCCAAAATTTATTTAGCTAAGAAGGATAATCATAGCCATCAGAACCTTTCCTTTTATGATAATTACACTCACTATGCAGGTTTTTATACTATTGACGCCACCGTAAAAATTGTGGTGGTTTGGGGAAATGAAAACCACCGCAATATTTACGCTTCCTGGGGCTGGCGATTATCGCATTCTTTTTACGGAGTGGTAATGGAGATAAAACATTACTATGTGTCGGAGGCTTTTTTACAACAATGTGTACCTACGAATACTCCGCTGTATCATGTGTGTGTATTATGTGTCAAATGTCCATGTCCATATTGTATACAAATACAAATTTCTATTATATACTGAATACATTATGATCAGCTGTGTCTTGTAGATCCAAAAAGGACCACAAGAGTCAACGCATCGACGTTATAGTGATGGCACAATCATATATGTGTTTCTATGTAAAAAAGGTATATTTTCGTTTGATTAGATATTGTTGTGGTAGAATACGTTAGATTATATTAGGTTACGTGACGTTAGATTAGGTTAGATTAGGATAGGGTTGTTAGTAGAGTATAGAGCGATGACGTAGTAGGACTAATCTGTGGGGCCATTTTTGGACCCTACGGCCAGAGCCCAGGAGTTGTTTACAGTCAGACCTCCAGACCTGCCTTCTCCTGCGGGGAGGTATATAGCACAGCTACACACCTGCCTCCTCCTGCGGAGTGGTATATAGCACAGCTACACACCTGCCTCCTCCTGCGGAGTGGTATATAGCACAGCTACACACCTGCCTCCTCCTGCGGGGTGGTATATAGCCACAGCTACACACCTGCCTCCTGTGGGGGTGGTATATAGTCACAGCTACACACCTGCCTCCTCCTGTGGGGTGGTATATAGCCACAGCTACACACCTGCCTCCTCCTGCTGGGTGGTATAGCTACAAATACACACCTGCCTCCTCCTGTGGGGTGGTATATAGCCACAGCTACACACCTGCCTCCTCCTGCTGGGTGGTATAGCCAAAGCCACACACCTGCCGCCATCACACCACGTATTGAGAGGTAATTGAGATTGATTACAGGATGACAGAGTTGCTTCGCCTGTAGCTGTTGGGCCAGACCTTAGTCCCGGTGTTGGGGGAGGCCTACACAAGTCCATAGGCCTGGCAGTTCGGGGACTGTTGGTGTTACTGTCCCGAGGAGTTACCGAGGCGGGTCACCCCATAAATGACTCCCCTTAACCCTTAAACTGCGCAAAACCTCACATGATGTGCGACATTGAGCTCAGTTTTTTAAGTTTTCTGAAACTTTTAAAAAAAAATTTGTGAATAATCTACTAGGCAAATGCTCTAACTTTGTCTAAATGATATCAGTGTAACTTGAAAAACAAGAGAATAAAAAATAATTATAAAATTTAATATTGAAAACTTCAGATTTTGAAATCAGCTGCAAAAATATAAAAATATCACAACTGTTCATTTGGTGTTGTTATGCTCTCAGAAGAGCATATGATCTTCATGTTCATATATTCAGAATAAAGGTTTTCAGTATTGTTTACTGTAAAACAATATCGTCAATACGGCATTTGAAATATGCGCAAATTTAGACAACAAAAATTTATAACTCCAAATGTTTAGAGTTTATGAAAAATCAATTCTATAGGGATTGTAGAACAGGCAGCTGTGAACACTATATGTAAAAATGGTGAGAATCGGTTAGAAACTAAATTTTTGGATACTGAAGTAAGTTGAAATTCTAGTTATAGATATAATTGAAGTTGAAGCTATCGATAATGAATAAGGCAGTTCTAATTCATGAATTTACTTGAATGTTGTAATAAACATTGTTTGACATTCGTACTCAAGTATGTGAAACTTGTAGGTCAATGTGTGTAGAAATGAAGTCAAGATAAAATACCCCCCAAAAAATGAAATATAGGGATAATTATAATAATTATAATGATTTAGGGAGTATATTTAGGGTATACTTCATATAAGTAAAAAACCTTATTTTGGTCCATAATCATCAAAACAATCTAAAGAAACAAGGAAAATAGAACTTGAAATCTGTGAAAAAAATCTATTAAAAAAAAATTCAAAAGTCCCAAGTTCTGAGAGTTGTAACTGATTTATTTGTTGACCAATTTAATTCTGGCTACACATCCTAACTTCCTAACTTCTCATAGTTAGGGACGAGAATGCATTCTCCAGGATGTAAAGGTTAAAACAAATTCAAATAATAAACAAAGGAGGAAGAAAAAACTAAAATCCTAACAAAAGAAAAATTCCCCTAAAAAAAATATTTTTTTGACATTGTTGCAAGTAACTGATAACAACATTGGACGATGTATTTATATGATATACAACAAAATAGAGCATAATAACATAATTATTCATTATTATTTGTGTTATTTTGTATTACTAACCAATGCTATAAAGGCACCAGCTGTATATCCACTTTGTGGACACTTGTTACTGCTGTTCTTCTTGTTTGTGCGTCGGACAGGTGCTTGCGTCTCTTTATTACTGCATTATCTACCAGTTCCAGTTACAGGCATACCTCAGAATACGAGTTTAATCCGTTCCTGGAGACGCCTCGCCTTCCGAAAACTCGCATTCCGAAGTTAATTTCCCCATAAGAAATAAAGGGAAATGAATTAATCCGTTCCTGACTACCCCAAAAACCCCACATCAAACTAAATTTTTATACCTAATTTACCTAATTCATCTAAATAAACCTACAAAACTGTGTTCCAGTTATTACTTACCTTACTGTCGAGTGCTGTAGGTGTATGGAAGATGGTGAGGAGGGGGGAGGAGGAGAGGAGTTACTGTTTGGAAGGGGAGTCCCCTTCCATAATCACATCACATAACCCCATGCCTTGTAACACTATGGATACCACTTCTCTTTCTAGATTTTTCAAACCAGCCCCTGCTTGCCTTAAACTCTTTCTTATCTGCATCACTCGTTGCAGGGGTATTCTTTAGAAGGTCTTCGTGCAACACCCTGGCTTTCTCACAAATAATGGCCTCCGAAACACTATCACCCCTCAACTCCTTGTCGTGTATCCAAATTAATAACAACTTTTCCACTTCTTCAAGTATTTGTGGTCTTTGTGCCGTTAATGTTCTTACTCCTTTTGCCACTTTAGCACCCATAATCTTATTTTTCTTCTTAAGTATAGTGCATATTGTTGATGTGGCTTTGTTGTACTGCCTACAAAGTTCAACAACACGTGTACCGTTCTCATGCTTCCGAATGATCTCTTGTTTCTCCTCTATTGTCATCCTCACATGAGCTTTCTGGCCTTTATCCTTACCACTGGCTTTCTTGGGACCCATGGTGAGATATATAATAACAAATTGTATAGACAAATCACCAAAAATCCAACAAAACACTGAAAATCCGCGAGAAGAATTGATGTGGGGGTAGTCACTGAGCGCGAGACAATGGTAAACTGAGGGGCGGTGGGGCGGAGGGGCGACGATCGCCGAACCACCACGCGCTAGGTCAGCTGTACTCGTATCAACAAACTCGCGTCCCGAAGTAACCCTCGCCTTCTGAGACAAATTTTTGGAGTAAATACTGCTCGCCTTCCGAAAACCTCGCATACAGGGACAATCGCATTCCGAGGTACCACTGTAATAGGAGCAACAATAGGAGCTCTTTATCAACAAAACGTTCTTTTTTTTAATATTCGTCTAAAATCAATTTCTGGAAATATTTTGATGAAAGTTTCACGAAGCTGAAGCCAATAAGTTTGAGATTTGTTTGATATTTTTAAGTAATTTTGACATAATTCAAATATTTTTCGAGCTTATACCCCCTTCAATGTCACACATCATATGACGTTTTGCGCTGTTTAAGGGTTAAGGTTTGTCAAGGTTCACCTGTAGGCCAAGTGAGGTTCTATCCTTGACAATTGCCTGACTCCTGGGGGCATGAGGTGAAAGAAAATGTGCCCATTGGGGTCTAGTCCCACCTGGGGATCAAATCCTGAGTCCCGTGGTTGGGACCTGAGGGTGTAGACCGCTGCGCCATAGGTATTTTATCGTTAACAATTGGGTTGTATATACAGTATGGGAATGCAGTGTTTGTTGATGTAATGGTTATAAATTGTCACAATCTAAGATGTACTGTTCCCTCCCTCTGTCCCATCCCTAACCCTTATCATGACCCCTTGCAAGGGCTATAAAGTTGTAATGTCTTGGCACTTTCCCCTGATAATTAAATAATTAAGATGTGCTGTACAGATGGCCATCACAGTGGTGCAGGGGAGGGGGGGGGGCATTTCTGTACCAATGTGCATAAAAAATATGCATGGTCATATGTATGGTCCCCCAGTACGTCCATGTGTGTATGGGGAGGACCTTTGACAAGCCACCGGCTTCCTGTCCTCGTCGAGGCCAGTGTTAGTGGCTCTCGGGTAAACTCGGGTAAAAAATGAAAATTAAATTGAAAGATACAATGCTGTGTATGGGAAGACTGGGAGTATGTGATAAAGAACTTTTTTTTTTTTTCAAATATTTATGTTAGGTGAGCCCAACCACTTGGGGTGGACGGTAGAGCAACGGTCTCGTTTCTTGTTGAGCGGCGTTCAATCCCCGACATTCCAAGTGGATGGGCACCAAAAAAAATGGTTGGCACGTGGAAAAAGTTTGTGTCAGAGACTTGGCTGATTTTGGCACGCACTCTCAAAAAGGTTGCCCACCCCTGATCTAGAACCACCCCTAGATCCCTTTCTTTGTCAAAATTCTTTAAAAATTTCTCACATAATTTATAGGTTGTGTGGGGTCTATGTTCTCCCATTCCACTTTCTATAACATGGCATTTGTTCTTATTAAATTCCATTTGTCAAGTGGTGCTCCATATACTTATTTTGTCCAGGTCTTCTTGAAGGGCATGACAATCATCAAGGTTTCTTATCTTCCCTATTATCTTAGCATCATCAGCAAACATGTTCATATAATACTGTATTCCATCTGGTAGATTGTTTATGTAGACAATGAACATTACCGGTGCAAGAACTGAACCCTGTGGTACTCCATTTGTGACATTCCTCCAATCCGATACATTGCCTCTGATTACGACCCTCATTTTTCTACCAGTTAGGAAATTTTTCATCCATGTTAGAAGCTTACCTGTCACCCCTCCAATATGTTCCAGTTTCCAGAACAACCTTTTATGTGGAACTCTGCCAAAAGCCTTTTTTAGGTCCAGATAGATGCAGTCAACCCAACCATCTCTTTCCTGTGAAATCTCTGTGGCTCCTGCTTGAAACCTGCTTGATGGGATTCTGGGAGTTCTTCTACTTCTCAAGCCCGGCCTGAGGCCAGGCTTGACTTGTGAGAGTTTGGTCCACCAGGCTGTTGCTTGGAGCGGCCCGCAGGCCCACATACCCACCACAGCCCGGCTAATCCGGAACTTCTCTTAGAAAACAGTTTTCTCTTGAAGATGTCCACAGTTGTTCCGGTAATATTTCTTATTGTCGCTGGGAGGACGTTGAACAACCGCGGACCTCTGATGTTTATACAGTGTTCTCTGATTGTGCCTATGGCACCTCTGCTCTTCACTGGTTCAGTCCTGCATTTTCTTCCATATCGTTCACTCCAGTACGTTGTTATTTTACTGTGTAGATTTGAGACCTGGCCCTCCAGTATTTTCCATGTGTATATTATTTGGTATTTCTCTCGTCTCCTTTCTAGAGAGTACATTTGGAGAGCTTTGAGACGATCCCAATAATTTAGGTGTTTTATCTCGTCTATGCGTGCCGTATATGTTCTCTGTATTCCCTCTATTTCAGCAATCTCTCCTGCTCTGAAGGGGAAAGTGAGTACTGAGCAGTAATCGAGATGGGACAACACAAGTGACTTGAAGAGTAAAACCATTGTGATGGGATCCCTGGATTTATAAGTTCTCGTAATCCATCCTATCATTTTTCTGGCTAACACAATATTTGCTTGGTTATGCTCCCTAAACGTTAGATCGTCGGATATCGTCATTCCCAAATCCTTGACATGCTGTTTTCCTACTATGGACAGATTCAATTGTGTTTTGTACCC